CGGGCTGCGCGGGCTGCCCGAGTGCTGGCTGGTGGGGCTCTCTGAGGCACCTGGAGATTGCCAGCAGCAGAGGAGCTCTCAGGGGTACCCTCAGGATCAGGAGAGGAGGATGACTCCACAGCTACAGAGGCCTGAGCACCTTCAGTACCGTGGGTCTCACCTCGGGCCTGACGGCGTTTCTCACGGGCACGGAGCTTACTCTTCTGACCACGAGGCATGATGACTGGTCAAGGACAGCAGGCAAGGTGTGGGCAACAGAGCAGGTGATACGGACCACTGGAGGAGAGAGGATGAGAGAACATGAGCCCCTTCAGCAGGGAGCCACCACCTTGGCTTTAAGAAGGTCCCTCTGTAGGTTTCTTGGAGGGACTGGGGCTCCTGTTCTCCTGCTCAGCCTGTTCCCTGAGAACTTTGGAGAGGACATCAAATTGAGCCTCAGGCTGCAGTCTTCCAGACCTCCCTGGGGCTTACTGGGGCTGGCAACAGGGACTCTCTGTTCTGGGTGGGTGGATAGGGCTGACTCCTCTGCTCATATTCAGGACCATCATATCAACTGTTGCAAGCAAGGGTTTGGGCCCCCTTTCCTCTGCTGTTCTGAAGGGGACACGTCAAAGCTCTCTGGGACCCATAAGGATGACATGAAGACGTGTCCCAGTCCACTAGGCCCGCCAGGGGCACAGAGTGCTGACAACTCTGTGGGGCCCTTTCTGTCCTGGCTTCATTGGGGTCTTCAGATCTCATTCAGAGTTCTCACCTAGGACCTAGGACCCTCCCCTCTGTTGAATGGAGGCTGCACCTTCAGATGAAGGGTCTCACCTTCCTTAGACCTAATAGTCTGACAGCCCTGCCCTGGCCTTCAAGGGCTGAAACTCTTTGTTTCAGGAGGTGGGGCAAGAATCTTTGTTGTTCCCTCTTGTTGTTGTTATGTGCCGTCGAGTCGCCCCGACTCATAGCGACCCCTCCTTGGGTTTCCAAGGCAGTATCACTACGGAAGTAGGATTGCCCAAC